TATATATATATATATATATATATATACATACTGCCTTGGATTTACATAAAGTTTAAATTAGAAGATTGATGTCTATCACAAAGAATCTAAATAAGGATAATTTATATTTGTAATGTATATGTACTGTTCACATGTAGTAATACAAATATGGCCAACTTCTATATATAGAATGCTAAACAAAACCTCTTTTGTTTGTCACAAACTAAAGACAGTAGTGGCAGTATATGTCACTTTCTTGACTTGACCAAATCGAACACACGTGTATAAACAGCTAAACTCACACAATTGAACAACTCTGCGACCTTTTAAAAGCCCTTGAGGTAAGTGAAAAACATTCTCATGTTTTAGAGGTCAGGAAAGGTTAAGGAAACTTAAAAGCCCAAACGTATACACGCACTGTTAGAATGATGCCTAAAGTAGAGCAACCCACGTGGTACAACAGCCACAGAGAAAAATGATACACGTGTAATTAACTAACAAAGTATGTCCACTCAGTAAATCAGTTAAAGCTTTGTGTTTTGTGACATAAAAATCAGCGTGCATACACGCAGAAAGACGACGTGAACTCACGCTGTCGGCATGTTTTGAGGTTATTATAGAATTGGAATTTTCCTCTCGAGCCATTGTGTAGCTAGACATATAACGTCTCACTTAGCTTGCAAGGGAGAAACAAAAGAATTTAGATCTCTCTCCAGTTCTCCATGTAGTTCTGTAATATACTGGTGGTGGGAGAAATAATGTATTTGCAAGAAAAAAAAACCAGAAAAAATTGTGCCCTTACGTCGCTTTAACATTGTGTCAAACAAACGCTATTGAAACTTAATAAGCAGAGATACAATAACCAGAGTTCTACGAACAGTTCTGATAAACGATACTTCTGACGGAATCGCAAGCCTACTTTGGAGGAGAGATCCAGAAGCAGCAGCGTGTTGTAATTGGCAGGATTACATCATACCGAAACGAAACTGTTTTTCAGCCTGAATGGCAAATTATGGAATACATGGGTTTAAAGGTCTTGTCAGAAGCATCACCGTTCCTAATTTTGAGGTGCTGACCAGAGGAGACACAACCATTCATGAACATCCATCTCCTACAATATTACTCGTGACCGAATAGGGAGATTGGTTATCACCTTCTTTAACGCCTACACAGCAGCACGTGAGGAGAGTGTTCAGCGCCATATCACGGACTTGAACCTTGGACTTTTCGATATGCTAATCACTAGACCTCGCCCATTCCCACTTGTTTTACTAAAAGTAAAATTCTATTAGGCTGTTAATCATCCATTAATTGATGAAGGACGATTTTCTTTATTATTTAGATTTGCTTGTCGACATTTTTGGCAGTTCAAGCGAGATTAAACTTGAAGACTTTATGGTGCCAAAAGGCGTGAGAAACATATGCAATTTTCTCCAAATTTCTTAGTTTAATTGTCTGGAACCATCGAGTTTGATTTTTTTTATATTTTCGCACAACCGTGTATATGAAAAGATTAATTCTCACGTTTTTATCCTTGTCTTACATATTTGTTTTAGAATTTTCGTGTAAAGCTACGTAAGTTGTATTTGTGCATAGCCGTCCATAATTTTGAGATGACAGACTAGAAAAAAGGCAACAAACGAACAATATCCACGGTCAATTCTCATATTATTCTTTGTCTGACCGAATAAGTGGGATTTGGCTATAACTTTAATAGAGAGTGCGTTTTTACGGCAACGGGACTCGAGCCACGAACCCTCGGATTCACAGCCCAGACACTTTAAAATCTATGTCAGGCCCGTTCCATATCAATATAGAAAGGTGGTAACATAACAGCTAGTTACAAGTATGCAGCATATATAATATCATAAAATTCAACTTGATTTGATAAAAGAAATGAACTTTATGTAACTATTACCAGGGGACTAACTCTCTTATTACGAAGACAGATACATTCAGCACGATTTATAGTATCGGTATTTTCACTCTGAACGACTCTTTATGTGACACATGAGTTAAACGAACAGGTCAGAGATTTTTAAGGTTAAAGTGCAACAGTATTCGATACCACAGTGTCTTTTGTCAGGTTTTGAACCGAATAACAGGATTGGCTGTTATATGAATATCGTACTCTCAACTAAAGATGCGGATAATATTCAACGACATCGTGGTTCGGACGTTGGGCTTTTCGACCGCAGCCCGGTACGCTAATTACTGGGCTACGCCAGACACAGCTGATTTATGATTGTCTCTTTTGATTATTCCAAGTAATTCATCCGTGATCCTGGATTAAAATCATTTAAAGATACTTCTTTTATTAATTATTATAAGGTGCTGGAAACCCAACACTGTGGGTACATACTTTAACTATGTTGGTAATCAAAGGGTTAAAAAGTATACGTTTATTTATATATCAATACATAAGTTTCTTAATGTTCAAATCAAACTAACGTCACTGAGGTAAACATCCTGTCCTTAATACAAACGCCCTTCCTTCAGTAGCTCGACTGTATGTTTCTGGACTTATGACGCTAAAAGTCGGGTTTCGACACTTCTAGCACAACACAAATAGTCCACCGTATTACAAAAACACAAAATTCTACGCAATTTACAAAAACAAAGCAGAATCATAATTTGCAAATGCCAATCTTTTTTTTAAAAAGCAGACACTGCTATTATAACGTGGTTTGTCCTTCGTAATATTTATTTTAGAACTATCTAAAAACGATTTTTATGTGTGGAAATACTCTCTAAATACTAAAAAAAAGTTTAGAAAATAAAATAGATGTAGCGAATTCGTTATGCCACCTCCAGTGTAAAGGGAATTATTAAGTTCTTTCAAACATGCATCACTGGATCCTTTTCAAGTTCGTTGATGTGAAAAAGCCCACAGTGGAGCGACACCCATCTAAAAAAAATATCACGATTTGTTTGATAAATTGTGAAGAAAGAATTTTGTTCGTGAATTTAGTTTGTGCTGAACAACATCTTGGCTGTATACAAACGACATAATGGCGCGCCCCTCTGGAACTAACTTTGTATTATTTTATAACCTTTTTTTTCTGGCTCAGCTGAATAAAATAGAAAGTATATGAATGAAGACGACATAATATAACTTCTTCTTCGTCTTTGTTCACGTTCAAGAAAAGTAAAACTGAAAAAAAGGTGTAGACGGCTTACAATCAGCAAGCTGTTTTCTCTTCTTAGATGAATTAAGTACTAATTTTTGCCACTTAAGGCATCTGATAAAGTTAGGCCTAACATGAAAGAACAACATGTTACTTTTAAGGGGTTTAGATATCACAAGTTACAGTTTTCTTCAAACTGTCAGATAAGAAAAGTAGACGAAATAGAAGGATTGGAAAATAAAAACAATTTTATCAATGAATTAATTTGTCAAGGGCACTGTACGTTTATAAGATCACCTCTTTTGTTGTGCTTCCTCTAGATTAGCATGCCTGCAGCAGGTAGCCAATGGGAGAGAGAGAGGTGGAGCTTCAGTATCCTTCCCTAAACAGAAGATTTCTTGTTTTTCATGAAATGTGCAGGATAACAATATTCCAAAAATGTGTAAGCAGAAATTTCTAAAAAAACGTCTTTTAATCTGGCCACTGTCGTATAAACGCAAGGCGCAGGGATAATACTACAAGATATTTTTCAGTAAGTGCGCAGAATAAAAATATTTTAATAAAATTATGTATAATTTCTGAAACTTTGTAGAAAGTGCTAAATAGTTAAAAAAAAAAAAGAAGAATTAATGCAGTAGTAAATGAAAAATAAGCAATAAGCTTAAGAAAAACGTGGCTGGTGTTAAACTGTCTTTCTGGTGTCAATACGAGAAAGG